TTCTCTTTGTTGAAAGATAAAATAAAATTTCTTGTTAGAAAAAAAATTAGATTTAAATTGTTGCTGTAAAAGAAAAAACTTTATGATATTCTTTGTAGTACACATAGAACACAACAACATGCATTAAAATTCAGGTTCCACCATTGATCGAACTAATACAGATCACAAAGCTCTTCCAAGCAAGATTGTTGAAGTTTTCCAAATGATTTGTATCGTCTTGGTTGTGCTGCAGGAATAATCAACAAGTGTTATTCAGCAAATAAATTAGAATTAATGGATACAAGAGTTTATTGAACTTGAAAACATACCTACAATTTCAGTTGGTGTTCACGAAGCTGAACTTGCACAATCAGCATCAACTATTGTTGGCATTCGCTATAATTGTCATACAAAATGACCAAAATCGGTGTAAATGTAAGAAAGCTGATATTGTCTGTGGATCAAACTGTCACCCTAGTAATAATCGTTGTCTAAATCGTAATGAATAACATTTTGTATACGTTAAGTTTGCACATTCTGTTGAGCTTGTCAGTATTTTGCAAAAGATAGCTTTCTGTAATTGCAGACATCTGTTTGCATCGAACAAATTAAAATTAAATGTAATTTTTTTTTTTACGAATATAATTTTAAGTTGACGCAAATTTAAATTTAACGTACTGTACTTGTTATGTTAATTTTATATTTACATGGGCAAATTTTAATTGGGCATTAACATAATATTAACTTTAAATTTTAACTTAACATAAGTCAATTTAGAGTTGACGGCTATTGAACTTTGACGCACAACATATATATCTTAATGCTAAGAAGCCATTATAATGGCAGCCGAAATTTTTAATAGATTCCGAAATATTCCGAAAATTCATAAGCAGTTCTGGAAAATTCTCATGCGTATGAAATTGAAAAAATCGGATTCGCACATCACTACTGTAAGTAGCGTCAGGCTTACATCATAAAATTTATTGACGTCAATTTGCATCATAGTGATAAATTTCGGAAGATCTACATACGGAATTATATTATACAGTATGTAAAAATCTTAACTCCTTCCAAAAACGAATAAATGAAAATCATTACTCCTACTAAAAAAGGATTTTGCAAAATTCAGGATAAGCGACATCAAAAAAAGTTGAAGGAAACCATCCCTCCACATTTCATGTTACACAAGAAATGTGATCGTACTGGTAT